AAAGTTAGACTACTGCAGCTCCTACCATACAATGAATAATCATCAGCTACTACCATCAGGATTAATCAACAACAGCCTATTGCAGAGGTGAGCTCAACTAAGCTCACAAACTACTTGTTGGGCTGAGATATTTCCAATACTACTCCTAAGAGCACTTATTTTGCTGCTACTCCTGCTAATGCCGCTACTGCTGCTGCTGTTGCTGCTGAGGCTGCCTGCTATTGCTGCTGAGGCTGCCTGCTACTGCTGCTGAGGCTGCTTGGTACTCATGGTGATGCCTTCAGTCAGAGTCGGTGTCGCTGTCCACAGGGGCCTCCTCCTCTTCCTCAGAGTCAGATTCAACGGCAATCATCTTCCCCTTGCCCTTCCTCCTCCACACAGGGCCAGCTGCAGCATCCTCCTCAAACACACGTGCTGCTTCCACAGCAGCCAATGCCTCTGCCTCTCGAGCTGCTGCTGCTGCTGCCTTCGCTGCTGCCTTTGCCGCTTTTACTGCATCGGACCTCTTCGGCTTCTTCGTCGGCCTCGAGCCCTGTGCCATCACAACTTCTTTGGCAGGGCGCCGCTTCTTGACTCCCCCGCGCCACATGGTCACCAGTTCCTCCCACTCCATCTCGTACTCCAGCAGCGAGATGGTCATCAGGTCGCTCAGGCGCGCATCGCAGAGGTTCCCGCGAAGCCAGCTCTTAATCACATTCTGTCGGCTGAAGCCGCGCTCGCACTCCACCGTGCTCAAAGGCAGCACGGCGACAGCAATCCACACAAGGACAATGTTGGGGTAGGCCATCTTCCAGTCGTCGCTTGAGAGCATGTGCTTTAGGGCAGCGTGGAAGTCGAGGTCGTCATGGTGCGTTGACATGATCGTGGTGAAGCTGGTGAGTTCCTTCCTGGCCTTGCCCCAATGGACGCATGAGGGCGGGGGAGGGGTCGGCGGAAGGGTGGGTAAACAGAAGTCAGGAATGGGCAACAATGGAGAGCAGGGTTATACACGCGAGAGAGCAGCCACTTATAGACGCGATGACAAGGGAGCGGCCTTACCGGGCAGGGTGTCAGGGGCTGTGGGGTCGCGCTTCCACAGGTTGCGCAGAGACAACAGCCACTCCATGAACTTACGCTCGCGCCTGAACGCGGTTCGAGGATACAAACTCTGCTTGTAGAGGCGAGTGCCGTTGAGGGAGGACAAGTCGTGGAATCGGCCGCGCAGATGGCCGATCATCGCCAACACTACAGCAGTTCCCAGCTTCTGGAGTGACTCCATGTCCCCTCCGCTTTGTTGGCCTTCGATCGGTCGCTCATGAAGCTGGTACGTGTGGATGAGAGGAGTGCCGTTTGCATCTGTGCCCGAGATAGTAACGTCCTTGCCGCCAGCATGAAGTTGCAGAAACTCGAAGAAGTCGCCCGAGGTCGGGCCAAACTGCGAGTCGTAGGTGACGTACCGGCTGCGCAGGATGAGGATGGTGTTGTCCACCATCCTAAGAACTTGCGTCACGTCGACCTGGGGGAGGGGTGCAAACAAAGAGAAAGCAAACATTATAAAGTACTCGGACATGTAAACAGAAATCATGCTAAGAAGGACGTACCTGTCGACGCTGGAACTTCAGATTCAACACGTTGAGCTCCGCGAGGATGTCAGCCAGGAAGTACAGAAGGAAGTGGAACTTCAGGCTAGTGACAACAGCATACATCTGACTATCGTACTCCCGCAGCAAGAGGATAGCAGCTGGGAAGACCTCGACCAGCCGCTGAATGGCTTCACCCCGAGAAAGCCAGCGGATCTGATGGATCCCCTGCATCTCGAGGTTGGTCTCGGTCACCACCTCCTGCAGCTGCTTGAAGCGGTTGTGGACGACGATCGAACGGCCGAGGATATCCGCCAAGGAGCGGACCACCTTGTCGACCACACCTAGATCAGGAAAGTCCGCTGCCGCGTCCTTAGCGGCTAGGGCCTCCCTGCATGCATGGCCACGGAGGGATGATTAACAAAGCGCGGAGAAACAGCATGATAAAAGACGGGTGGAGTGCGAATGGCTACCTATGAGCAATGCAATGGCATGATACTAGATGCGGAATCCGAGTGCGAAGACGGGCGACAAGGCCCAACTGCGCTCCCGTCATCACGCTGGCGCCGTCGGTGCTGATCCCACAGATCTTATTGAGGTCGACCCCATATGACTCCAGGTGAGTCAGAAGCACGGCTTGCAGGGAGGCGGCATCGCACTTCTCCACCGTGAGGTGCGCGAAGAACTCCGTGGCGACCTCCGTACCGCGCAGGAAGGTAAGGTAAACGATCATGTGCTTCCCTCGGCGCCGGTCCGTACTTTCGTCGAGTTGGATCCCAAGAAAGGGGCTCGCCTTGATATGGACCATCTGCTTCGCCCGCAGGTAAGCCACTAGATTCTCGACGAGCTGGATGAAGCCATACCTGCCATTCGGGTAACACCGGAGGGCATAGGGAAGGAGTAACGCAAATAGAGACAGTAAGTTCAAACAAATATCATAAACGGCAAATGAGGAACTCGGATGAGGAGGGCTTCGCCTTAAAAACGTGGGACACTTACTCGCTCTGGTAGGTTCCTCGTTCCTTCAAGGGCAGATCAGTTGTCCCCTGTTCTGCCATGAACTGGACAAGGGAAACGAACAGAACGATAGGTGCATCCGACTTGCAAACAAAAAGCACGATGGCCATGAGCCGCTTCAGTCGTCGAGCCTCATTGTCACCGTTCTCGAAGTCGACGATCGACTTCTGCTTCTTCATCTTCCCGTCGCGCTGCAGTTTCTTTGCCACGGCAGCCTCATGCTTCAGACTGTGATGATGCTTACGCATTGTTTGCTTCTGAATGTCGATGCCGCCCTCACCGTTGCGGCCGTACTGATAGTCGGGGTCGTCGCCAAACGCCATGCAGACGCTGCACTTCATGCAAAGGCGACCCTCCTTAGTCTCGGAAATCACCAACCATGGAAAGTGGCGTAACCACTGCTCCCTCGCTTTGAGTTGGAGCTCCTCCACCGTCAGGAAGAATGGCCCGTCGTCGTCATTATTCGGGGAGCTGGGACCAGGATCGCCGCTGCTGCTGCCGAGCTGGATAGGATTAGCCGCAGTCGAGGCACAGGCATGCCGACCGAAGCTGAGTTTGCGCTGGATGTACTTCGCCTTGTCAGACTTGCGGGCGGGCAAGACGGGCCCTCCAGAGACGCGTGGCGGAAGGACGGCAGAAACGGTTTGCCTTGTAGGTGATGACGGACGGGAAGGCCTAGTAGCAGAGTTGAGCTCGGAGCCTTCAGCACCAAAGATGATCCATGGCTCCGTGTCCAACGGAGGCAGTGGGCTCAGAGGAGCCACTGTAGGGGGAGGACTAAGCACGGGCGAGTGGGCGGCAGGAGACGGGCTACGCGATCGTGCACATGCTGCGGGTGGCGGACTAGCGGCGGGAGAGCGAGCCGAGGGTGGAGAACTCAACGCATGCTTGTTACTCGTACTAGGACTAGCCTCTCGACGACTAGTCGTATGTCGAGTAGCGGAAGGAGGCGGTGGGGGTTTGACAGGCAGAGTAGGCTCGACGGGCATACGCCTCTGATGCGGCTCAGTGCTAAGGGGAGGTGGCGCGGGTCGGGACCGAAGCAGGTCTAGCCCCGTAACCGTCGATGGTGCGGCATCTTTACGAGGGTTAGCATTAACCTCCTCTAAGGCCATAAGATGAGACACACGATATGAGCAAGAACTAGGTGGGAGAGCCAGCCAAGAATGAAGCACTAGGACGAGGGAAGGACGAGGACACCAAAGAGAGCACTCATGGCTGCAGGGAGTGGTTCTCTGAGACGTGGTGGTCTGAGATTGGTGGCTTCTGTGGGCTGATTGTTCACCATGGCGGCTCGAAGAAGAGCGGCTTGGGGTTGCAGATTCAATACGAAACCCTCGTCGTGCACGACGAGGGTGGCTTGCGGTTTCATCGGGAAATGCGCTGGCACATTGCTGCCCAGCGCTGCTTGCTTGGAACCTGGCTGGCAGCGACGGTGCCCGTAACAAGACAGTGGCGTGGCAGCAGCTAGCGTCAGCAAGCTGAAAATTTATGTGCGCTGGACTGTTTCGCTGCCGCGCTCGGGTAGAATTGAATGCGCGTGCTGCGGTGCACATGGGACTGGGTGGCTGGCAGTGGCCTAGTGGCATGTGGACTAGTGGCCCTGCTGCTAGAAGGGCGGATTTGTCGGTATCAGACGGAAAAAAACGGCCGGTCTGATAAATCAGATGAAAGTGTACACCTAGTCTGATGTTTCAGACGAATTCTTATAACTTGTCTGAACGATCAGACGAATATATTTGGCTCGTCAAAAAATCAGATGAAACATAAAAACCCGGTCTGATTTTCAGACCATCAGACCGATTTGGTCTGATAACGGGAGCCCTGCCTGTAGCCTCTCACTTGCTAGGGCCTTGACTTTGTACTGTCCTTTATATGTATACTTAGACTGGACTTGTGTCCTCTCCCAGTGGCTGGACTAGTAGTACCGCCCTGGTCTTGTTCTCGCCTTGTCTGTACTCCTTCTGACAGGTCTCTTAGACCCTTGTCTCAGAGGTTGGACTAGTAGTGCCGCCCCGAGCTGCTTGTTTAGAACATTCCCCTATGCAGTCTAGGGGGTGTGTCAAACATGTGTATTTGTTATGTTTGCATAGACTGTATAGGGTCATCTCTTAGAGGGTACAATACTTAGGTATATCTATCTGTACTCTCCCTCTATCTTACTCAATCACTTCTCTCAGCTTGATAACTAGCTGTACAATCCTAACGTTCTTTTAAACGATTTTTAGCAAGTGCAATGCAACCCTGTTTGTGGCCTGGCAACCTTGGAGGTTTCAGGGTTACATGTTCCAGAACACTGAGAAATCAGGGAAGCCAAAATTTCAACACAAGGCCGTCAGGGTAATTTTTTTTCCCATTCGACAGCTCAGGGTGCTTTTTTTTGAAACGTCAGCCCTGCTCATGATACCATGTTAGAAAGAGAGAATGACTAGAATAGGAAGATACAGGGCAATATAGACTAGTGTGTTGTACCCTCTAAGGCACAAACCTGTATAGTCTACAGTAACGTAAGTTATGTTTGACAGATTCTGGTTCAGCGTGAGTTTCAGCTGGAATCTGCCGTTACACGGTGTGGCATCGACACAAACCTTGATAAACACACATCCATCTGAAAATGGCACGAAAGTACACCCAGCCATATGCAGTGCAGTGTATAAACATTAGCAGCATACCCATCCAATTCAGCTTTGCTTCTTACCCTTCCTGTCCATTGCCCTTCGCAGCCCCGTACCACTTACCCTAGCAGCCGCTGCCATGGCCTCTGCCTCTGCCTCCCCTGCCGTCATATCCTGCCTCCTCTTCCTTAGCCCACCGCTACTTCTACCACCACCAACCCCCTTTCCACCGCTCCCACCGCCCCCTACATCTCCCTCCTCCCCCTCGCCCCCCAGGTCCGCAATCTCCTGCTGTCGCCGTGCAGCGGTGGCGACAAAGGCGGGGTCGGGGTGGGGCTGGTCGGCCACGGGGGAGTCGCGCAGGGCGAGGATGATATATACGGCGATCACCGCGTTCACTGACAGCACCGCTGCGAGCCCCGCCCAGAAGGTGGCATCGATGGGCGGTGCTGAGGGGTCGGAGCGGGCGAGTAAGGACCAGATGGGCGCGGGGACGAAGCCTAGAGTGGGCCGGGGGACGTGGGGCGTGGGAGGGGATCGGCGAAGCACCGGGGGTATCGAGGCATGGTGAGTGCGGTTGTCAATTCAACAACAGAGACAGTTTTAAGTTAGTTTCACGGCAGTGACTAGGCCGAGGGACTGTTGAGAAAGAAGACGAAGGCATGTGGGTGGTTGAGGCGAGTGGAGGTGGCTGTGAAGGGCGAATAGTGGTGAGGACGTGGAGGGGAGGAAGGCTTACTCTGGAGGAAGGAGAGGTCCTGCTTGAGGGAGAAGAGCACGGCGAGGGGCAGCACCCACATGGCTACGGACGTCACCGCGAACCGCACCCACACCGCACCTGCCGAGTGCGGCTTGCCTGATACCCGCTGCTGCTGCTGGTGCCGTGCCATCGCTGCTTTCCCACTAAGCACCACGAGAGGGGAGGTGGGAGATGACAGGGGGACTGACGTTAGCTCGGACTCAGTGCAAGAGAACCCTTAAAATGGCAGGTTTAGGTGGGACGATTCCTACAAGTCGGCTTGAAGGCACTACGACGACGCGACTTATGCCTCTAGGTCGCCTCGGGTACACATGGCTCGTGGGAGGATGTAGAGCGCAGAACACACCGAGGCTGAAAGTACGGCAATCGCCTACTAGCAACGATCTCGGCAAAGATCAGGCGACGATCACACGCAAGCACCACAGCTCGTTCGATCGGCAACCTGTGAACTCTATCTCCCGTCAGCTGCTCGCTCGGCTGAAAAATATTGATGATTCGACACGACCGGCGGATTAGCTCATCGGATCGCTCACCTGGGCGCGACGCGATTCAACGGTTGAGGAAGAGCCGCGGATCCAGTAGGATTCGCACGAAGGAACTCCCAAGAACGGGAGCAACGGTAGGAGGGATGAAGGCCACGGGGAAGTGGTGCCAAGGGGCTCGGGTGCAGGGCTATTTTTTTGGGTTGCGGAGCAACCTATTGCGATCGATCGTACGAGATTTTTTTCTCCAAGTTTTATATCAAGTTCTATGAAAAAAATTGATATTAATTGAAGAAAAATGATGGGAAGTATTGGCAATATATTGTGGATGACTCATCTAAACTATATAGCTTCATTAGCTTAGCTTGGCAAATAATTGAAACATGTCATATCACTACTACAACATAATACTTGAAACGAAACAATGATGGAAAATAGTTCATGTTTTCCATCATTTCGCGATATGCGGAAGGGAGTAATTGAAACGTGTGTTGGAAATGTCTCAAGGACTTAAGCGTTTCTGAAGTGTAACACCACACTCGAGGAAGATCGTAACGAGTACGCGAGTCAACGGAGGTTACACGACGGGATGGACAAAGAACACAAAAGGACTCGAAGGGTCGCAACCGGAGGTTGCGACTGACCGTTACAACTGCAAGAATGGTAACCGAAGCGACAATCGAGTCGCTGTGCGACTCGATAACCGCCATTCAACTGTATTCTACAACTGCTTGTTTTTCTACTTTCTATATATTGCTGTATGCTTGTTCACTTTAATCAATCGCTTGTTCTCATATACCAGTACAAGGGTTCAACTACTCAACTTCCGCTGCACTACTCAAGTCTCATTCTTCAACTGGGACTTAGTCTCTGGAAAGATCCTAAGGGCTTTTCTCAGCCCAACATGGTATGAGAGCTGGTCAGAGACCAAACTCCCAGCAACTACGCTCTATCTACAATCTGCACACCAACGACTTCATTGATTACAAGTCATGGACAGCAAGGGCAAGAAAATCTCCACGGGCTCACCCAGCGCCCAAGACACTCAACCCGGCAACTCTGGATTGCACACTTCAGGACTGCAAACCGAGACCGGCGCTGCTCAAGAAACAACAGGAAGAGCACCGGAAATGGTGACCCCATCACCCTCTTCAAGCGTGGATCTGAACCTTATGGAAAGGTTCTTCAGCTTCATGTCGCACTTCGACCAGCAGCAGCAGACAAGGACACCTGCGCACTCAACGCAGAGCAACGGAGGAAACATGGGATTAGCGCCGATGAGCCTCGACAACTCATCGTTCGGGCGACATAATCAAGCGCCTACCTTTGCGCCTTATCACTCTTCACCGGGGACGTTCGAGTTCATGCCGCCCCGTGCCCAACCAACAGCAGCTGCATCACAACAAACACCAAACGAGATACTTAGTCTCCAGGCGCAGTTTTCACACGTGATCAAACTGCAGACATCCTCACCGTTCAACGGACACGACTTTTTTACCTGGAGCTTTGAGTTCGAGCTGCTGATGGAGGCTGCGCATCTCTTGGGATACTTCAACGGGTCCCTGCCATTCCCAAGCAACGGCACTGGAAAAGAGCAAGAAATTTTCACGTATCAGTCGCTGCTGGCGTACACAGTTCTCCTGCGGAACCTGTCACCACAAGAACAACAAAGCATCAGAACGTATCGGAGCTACGGAAACTCCGCGGAACTCGCATGGCATCACCTCAAGTGTCTCTATCAAGTAAACGACAGCGTGACACAAAGCAGACTCATGCAGCAGCTGACAACAATACAGATGAAGACCGGGGAAAAGGCGATGGAGTATATGAGTCGATGCCAAACACTCCGCGACCGCCTGCTTCGGTGCGGAGGAACAATCACTAAAGAAAGCTTCGTGACGCTTGTCCTCGCTAGGCTCGGGCCAGAATGGCGAACCACCCGCTCGCTCCTTCGCGCCCACGGACGAATCTCGGAGATGCACCTCTGCGCCGAGCTCCATGCTGAACAACACGAGATGGACCTGTTTGAAGAAAGACAACCAAGGAAACAACAACCATTAGTCTTCTACACTCAACGAAGACACGACAACAACTACAACCGGCGCAGCAGGCAAGATCAACTCGACAACAGAGGACTCACCATTGTACCGCCGTTCTGCCACAACTGCCAAACATACGGACACTCCAAAGTCAACTGCACACGTCACCGAGCCTATCGTCCAGTAGACCCACAAGTCGCTTCCACTCAAGAAAGTCCGCCGAGGCGCTCTCCCACATCTGCAGAAAATACACCGAATATCATTAACTGCATGGTACACATCGACAATTGCGCACCCGGATCACCGCCAACTTACGCTCCCGATGAAGAAGAACTACCGCCGCCGCACACACAAGGACTTCAGGTCAACCCGACATACGCTGCAGTCGCCAACGCCGAACCCACCGGACGAAACACCTGGTTCTTGGATAGCTGCTGCGGTCAACACATGTGTTCTTCCGGACGCTTCGTGCAACGAGAGCGACGCCTCAACCGCGACGTCATCATCACCGTCGCCAACAACGAGAACCTGAAAACAAACAGACAAGGAGTGGTTCAGTTACAGTCCATGGAAACAAATGTTATCCTGAAACTCAACAAGGTTCTAATCGTCGACAACTTGGGATACAATCTGCTAAGCGTCAGCCAGCTAATGGCAAAAGGGATTCACCTGGAGTGCGACTCGGACTCCAACGAGTTTCGCCTTTACCACGGGAAGGGCGGCCTCTTCATCGGTCGTGCTCTCCTGAAGTCCGGCGTCTTCGTGTTGGACTTCGTCCCTGACCGCGGTACTGCCGACAGCGATGGCATCGTGTCGTTCGCCGCCTGGACACACCCGCCGGATCTTGACCCAGACTTCAACCCCGATGGATTCTGGTACTCCAACACCATACCTACAGCAGAGAGAACACGAGCGTTAGCAGTCATCAGATAAGAAAGACAAGTACCAGCAAGCGTCCCTTCCCAACCATCACCTGTAGTAGCAGCAGCAGGACCCAGCCGAGTACCACCACCAGCGATCCGAGGACCACCAACCGAAGCAGATCAACTTATGCCCATCACACGAGAAGTCTGCCGAAGTCCCGCCACGGTCGTCGCGTTCTTCTCCAACACCGACATGTACCAATGCTCACCCGGCCATCGCGCTTCCGACGACATCTGGCACCAACGCCTTGGGCATCCTGCAAACAGCACGGTACTACAAACCATCCAAGCCGAAGTGTTAGAACGAAACGCTCTTCTTACAACAAGCGGCCAAGAACTTCGACGACCTCGCGCACGGTGCTTCACGTGCCCCGAAGCAGATCTTCCCCACCAACCTTTTCCATCACATCACAATCCGAGTGCACCTGCATACGCACCGATGGAAAAAGTTTACAGCGACATCTTAAACATGCCTCGAGACGACACTGAAGCCGACTTCAACTATGTCATCACGTTCATCGATGCAGCAACAAGATATGTTTGGCACTACAACCTCAAAACACGAGACCAAGCCTTCGAAGCCTTCACCACATGGCTCCCCATCGCTGAACGAGAATCAGGAACTAAGCTCAAGAGTTTCCAATCCGACGGCGCACTGGAATACCAGTCACAACGATTCAGGACCTACTTGGCGGAAAGAGGAATCAGACGCCTGGTGTCTCTACCCTACACTCACCAGCAACAGGGGGTCGCAGAAAGAATGAACCGGACCTTGCAGACGACGATGCGGAAGCTGCTCCTGGGGATGAGACTGCCCAACGCACTGTGGCCAGACGCGATGACCCATGCAGTCCACCTGCACAACTTGCTATCCTCGTCATCGCTTCCCAACAACGCATCACCGCACCTGCTGTGGACACAAAAAAGGGGCAGCACAAAATTACTTCGGGTTTTCGGCTGCATGGTACAGTACAGACCCCACACAGCCAGAGCAGGACGCTTCACTCAACGAGCACGATGGGGACAACACCTCGGCATCGCAAAACATTTTCAAGCATGGAAAATCCTCGACATACAAGACAAAAATACCGTGGCATCACGTGATGTGATCTTCTACGAACGACTGACGCTGCAGCATTACCTGAACAACATCGCCAACACAGACGACCCCACCGACAGTGTCGCAGGCATTCGCTCCTTCGCTGACCGTGCTGCCGACGATGGAAGAAACGATGAAGAATACGGAACACACACTCGCTGCTGCTGCTGTCCCTCACCACCACACCCAGTACGACACTTTCCTTGTCAATCGCGACAGAAATGCATACAACTTAGATGGACAGTGCACAACCTGGCTAAGGTGATATTAAAGCCGCCGTCCAAGATTGAAAAAAACCCTGAATCCATAGAGGTAGTTGGGTGTTGGCGAGTTTAGCGAGGTGGTATGGAAAGAACGAAGCACGTGATTGGGTGGGAATTTGGTGATTTCGCCAAGGTGTAATTTGATTTTGGTCTTGCCTGTGGGTCCGAGGTGGATGTTGCGGGCTAGGGGGGAAAGGCTGGGGGAGTTTTGTGGGCGGGGTGTTGATTTTTTTTTGAAAACCGTCGCGGGCGGAAATGACTGGGCCCCGAGGCGGAATCGAAATCGCCCCTTGGGTATATTCCAGCTCGAAAACCCAGTGGCAAGAGTGGGGGAAATGGGAAAGTGAGGGCGGGGTGGGGCCTGGGGGGAGAAACGAAATGGGCTCGGGGGAAGGAAACAAGGCGAGGGGAATTAAACGCATGGGGAGCAGAGTGACAACTTTCGAGGTTTGCAGTGCACCATTCTGGTTCAAGTTTTTGCACGGCTTTTGGCGAGCTCTCGCCTAGCCAGAGCTGCCTCACAGGGTAACCTAGCCTTTCAACTTATAAACAATTGAACCTCGCTGGCTATATTTGCACCGCGGCTTTAAGGGCTTCTGATAGGTCTGACAGCCCTGCAATTATGTAGTTGTGGAAGTTTAACGGGTCGCGCTTTCAGATTGCATGGAAATGTTGGCAGGGTTGCGAAGGAATGGGGGGTTGGGCGGGAGGGGGGGGGGGGGGGGGAGGAGGGCAGGTTGCAATTCTAGCACGGGTGATTTTCCATGCCAGTCGGATGGCCAAGATATTTTTTTGCGCAATCTGGATTGCTCAGGGAGTTCCTTGAAAACACCCGGAATCAGTCAGGAGTTTTGGGAATCTGAAACCCTCAAAATCAGAATTTCAGCAGGAAAGACCCGGAATGTACCTGACATTCCGGATGTTTACCCTTGAACCGAGAGCCCTACTCGGGTGATGTTACGAACGAGGTTTTGTAATGAGGGCATGTCCAGCGCGTTCATTTTGTCCCAACACGAGTTTTTGACGTTTTTTTAACACGACAAAATATTGAAACGCCAAGTGTAAATGTGTTGAGGTACACCTACAGTATCAACAGCAAAACGCGCGAACACGTGTCCCGCCCGTGTCTTGACAAATGAGCGGGTGCGCAGCGCGCACATAACAGCCTGACACGCGAAAACAACATGGTAACCAAATTCCACCCCGGGAAAGAGGCCCAACCCGGTGCTTCGCATGCGTCACGAAAGCCTGGCGAATGTAAGCACTCTATTTTTCACCAGCCAGGATCTGGACGTTTCTGCCGTGTGTATAATTTGGGCAAGATCTCCATTCAGTTCGGAAACGTGCGGCCCACGTTTGTGCGCACGTTTGGAGGGTGTCTGCCAAAACCGTCAATTTCGGGTTACCAGATCCAAATTTCGTACCTGATTTGCAAATTGAATAGTATACGAACGCGCTGGACATGCCCTGAAGTGCGAAGAGCGTGTGTCGAAGGATTGACACCCTGATAGACGCCCCTAGGGGCGTTTATAGGAGGGCTCATGCTAAGGTTATTTTAAACTTTGTTTCTCCCGGATTCCCCACCGCCCTGCACCCAAATTCGTCCGGATTTCAGGGTAGTTGATTTCTGTTTCATCCGGTTCGGGTACAAAGTTACTTTTAGCCGAGTTCCAGCAAACATTGACTCGGACATGTCAAGATGTTCAAGGTCCAAACAGGGTAACATTTGCGGAGTGCCAGAAAAAGAGAGTACTTTTGGACTTGCTATGTTAGGAGTGTGAATTGCCTCCGCTAGTTTTCTGACAAACCCGCTAAAGTAGGGTAGAATATGTGTCAGCAACCTTAGCAACTTTCGGGGTTGCGGGAAGGGGGAGGAGGGAAACGTGGCTAAACGTTTCTAGCCAAATTTTCCTAGCTCCGTGGGCGTGCGGGGCTGTAGGAGGAATTTTCCAGTCTGTGAGGGACGCCAAATATTCAAGGTTTAGGGTGACCTGGGTGGGAGGAGTCTCTTTGTGTAAAATTCTCTAGGTTTAAGGGAGACTTAGCCAAATACTCTATGTTATAGGGTAAATGCAGGAATGTTTCTGCAATGAGGACTAGCCAAAGTTTCGTGGGTGTGGGTAGGAGGACTATCTCTGTTTGGGAGGGACTTAGCCGAATTCAACTATGATCGAGGAAGGAATGTTCCTGACTGTGACAGACTTAGCCGAAAATTCTGGGTTTCGGGTGGTGCGGGTAGGAGGAGCACGGTATGTCTCAGTGTGGGGGACTTCGCCATATTTGCTTGGTTGCGGGGTTAAGGAAGGAATGCTGCTGGAAGTTGGGGACTTTGCCAATTTTTCTGAGTTTTGCTGGTGTGGGAGTTATGTGTGTGAGGGACTTAGCCGAATTTCCTGGGTTCGGGGGCTCCGTGGGATTGTTTATGAAAGTTGGGGACTTAGCCGGAGAAATGTCTCTGCCACCCTGGGTGCGAGGAGGGGGGAAGGGGAGGGGGGTGGGGGGGGTATTTCTTGGCAGTTGCAGCCGGACTGGCCCCCCAGCGAATTCTGATCTTCCCGGAGCCCCCCGCAACACCACTTCTATAAATTCCGGAAACCCCAATAACTCTACACGTTCAAAATCCGGAACGAGCCCAACGCGAACTCTTAATGTTTTTTCATTCCGGGTAATTACCCTTGAAAAATAGGCCCTGGTTTATAGGACTGGTTTTAAATAAAGAGGGGGGGGGGGGGTTTAATTGAACAAAAAATATACGCCCATCGGCGTTTATAATAACGATTTTTACAGAATATAAAAAAAAACGGGAAACTGTAGGTCTTGATGTTTGTAGGCTATTGGGCGTGGTTCCAGAGGGGACACGCCGAGAACATGCACGGAAACAAGGTTTGAAGGTGCGACCAACACAGCAAGGCAAGAAAGCTGCCATTCGGCCCTATCACAAGCGATCCTGGTGCCGTGCTATGCCAGCACACATGGTTCAGTGGTGTTGGAGACCACGTTCCTGCAACATCCGCGCCAGGGCAGCGACGTGGCTTAGGGTACCAGGAATCTGGACAGGAATCTTGCTGACAAGATTCCTTCCTCCACCCCTTTCATCGACGAGGAATCTGCTCCCGACGAGGAACCCAAGCCGCCTTCCAGGAGGGGGTACCTCGTCAAGGGGTTCAGTATTTCATTTCCGATCGATGTGAACTCTGAAGCAGCACCGGCTCCCCTTGTGGGAGCTATGGCAGGCTTTCCAGTGTCTGGCATTTCGATCCTTTTTGGTAGACCAGGCGAGCCCATGAGCATTAGAGCAGAGCATCGTCCAGCTCCTCCCGCACCTCCCGCTCCTCCGGCTCCTCCGGCTCCCCCTGCCCCTCCTGCTCCGCTAGCTCCTCCCACTCCTCCTGCCCCGCCAGCGCCACCTGCTCCACCGTTCCTAAACAGACTGCCGGTCCTGACTCTGCTGCTGCCGGGCAAGAAACTTCCGCAAGGCGGCATCAATGCCCATCCAAAGCCCGACCCTAGCTCTTCCGCTGCGCCACCAGCTGCTCGTGATTGGGGGATTCCTCACGGCGATGACTGGCCCGAGCACGACGTGGATGCTGACGATGGAGCCGAGTACTGGTCTCGGGATGGTCTTCCCAAGAAGCTCCCTGTGCCATCGTTTCCCGAGGGCAGAAAACCGCCACATCCTTCTTCAGTGAACCGAGATGCCTGCCCCCCATCCCCCAGGAATCGGATGAACGGGAGGAAGCGGAACTCCTACACGGCCAAGGAGAAGCTATTTTGGCTCGACCGAATGAAAGAGGTGAAGAAGAAGAATGAAGTTGCGCACGAGTCTGGAATCTCGCGCCGCTGCATCAACGAGTGGTCGAAGCAGGAGGAGGAGCTAAGAGCTGCCCACGGCTACCGTAAGAGGCTGCATGGGCAGGGGAGGTCTTCTTGGTACGCCGATATGGAGACGTAGTTGTATTCGAAGCTTCTCGCCACGCGCGCTGTGGGAACTCTGGTCCCAGTGTCAAGGCTGCAGAAGTGGTCACGGGATTTAATGAAGATTCTTCACCCCGACGTCAAATGGCAAGGCTCCTACGGCTGGACCGAATGATTCTGGTCAAGGTGGAATCTGTCGGTTCACGCCAAGACGAAATTCGGTCAGAAAATGACCGATAGTAAGTACACCGTCACTGCATCAGTTTCTGCCTCTTCTTTTCGCTTATGTACGTACTCTCTGATTTGAGTTTACACTGTCGCTCCATACGAATGTTGTACTAAGTCGTGTCCTTTTCGAATTCCCAAACTGCCCTCCCACAGGTTGCTCGGCAGAGGTCGAAAACTTCTGGCGATTCTGCAGGGAGGTGCGGAGGATGTACGGCATTGAAGAGCGCTGGATAATCAACGCCGACCAAAATCCACTGTGGTTGGAGATGCCGGCTGACCGCACCGTCCAGCAGATCGGCGTCAACTCTGTCCCTATCCGCTCCGCCGGCTACCAGAAGGAGCGAGTTACTGTTATGCTCGCGTGCACGGCAGGAGGGGAGAAGCTGAAGCCGTGGGTCTACTTCAAGAGGAAGACCGTCCCTCAAGGGGATTTCCTCGCTGGTATGTCCTGGATTCGCAGCTCTTGTATGTTTCCCTTGTTTTTTCAACCGCGTAAACCAAGCTTACACTCTGTGTCTTTATGCAGATGTCGTCGTTGCGGCACAGCCCATTGGCTGGATGGATGCAGACGGTGTGAAGACCTGGCTAGAAAACGCCGTCAAGCCCTTCATCCGCCCAAGATTTGGTTTGCGTGCGTGCTCTACCCTACCGATTCTTGACTCCTACCGTGGTCACCTGATGCCTGAAGTGAAGGAATGCTACGGGAAGCTTGCTGTCGTCCCCGGAGTCATCCCCGCGGGCTGCAATTCCGTCGTGCAGCCCCTGGACATATGCGTCAACCGAGCTTTCAAGGCTCGGGTGAGGCAATACTACCAGGAGTGGTTTTACTCCGTGGGGATGTACTGTATTCCAAGACCGCTAAGGGTGAGTATCTTCTAGCTTGTTTTAACTGTTTGTTTTCTGTAAACATGGTTCTAACTGAGTGGTACTAATGTTTGCTGGCGCAGGAAACCTCAAGAAGCCTCCACCGGAAGAGATCCTGAAGTGGGTCTCCAAGGCCTGGAGGGCCATCCCTGCAGCCCTCATTCAGAGGGCTTTCAAGACGTGTGGCATCAGCAACTCGCTCGACGACAGTGAAGACTATCTGACCCTCCAGCACATGTGCAACAAGCGAGAGGCAGAGGTGGATGTTGATGACGAGGTCGGGGCAGATGGCTTCTCTGGAGACAACTCGGTTGGTGCTGAGGGTGGGGCTGCAGAGGATGGGGAGGGGGAGGAGGAGGAGGAGGAGGAGGAGGAGGAGGAGGAGGAGGAGGAGGAGGAGGAGGAGGAGGAGGAGGAGGAGGAGGAGGAGGAGGAGGAGGAGTAGGAGGAGGAGGAGGAGGAGGAGGAGGAGGATGAGGAGGATGAGGAGGAAGGGGAGGAGGGGGAGGAGGAGTAGGAGTAGACTAGGAGTAATGTTCGATAAGCAATGCTAGCCTGAAACTGTTGCATATCCTAGGTTTAGGTTTGAATAGGATGACTTCTGACTGTCTAAAAAATTATGTTTCTAGTGCATTTTGCTTATCTTGGCTAGTTCCATAAAATGCTGTTTGGAAAGAAGGGGGGGCGTATAGGGGTTTGATATGGAGTGGCGTATAATCAAATAATGCGTACAAGTCCCAATGCATGAGTTAGAGCCCATGGGACAAATCCTACGGAGGGGCGTCTATCCGGGTGATTACGGTAGATATAGCTAGCCTAGAGCACACGGTCGTGGCTCGGCAGAGCTGTGAGGTGTGGTTCGTAAATTGGTGTGAAGCGCCCAGATCTAGGCATGAAACAGCAAGGCGGGCATAATGCATGCGGGTCGTCAGGAGGCCACATTTGGGTACTGCGATTTAAATTTCGTGACAGAGCTGCGTGGGAACCCCGTTATAACAGTGTAAGCCTTAATAACAAAAACCCGTAATAAGGAAATACCATTTCCTTACACCCTCCCCCCTCCAAGGTATGGTCTTAGCTAAGACCGCCGACGTCGCGCACATTGCGTGACTGGAGGTAGACTCGTAACACGGCGGCTGCTGGCAGATGCTGGCTGGCAAGCCAGCGGCGAGCTGGCTGGCGACTGCTAGCGGCTGCTGGCTGGCTGCTGCTGGCTGCTGGCTGGCTGGCTGGCGCGCCTGCGGCGAGCTGGCTGGCAACTGCTGGCGGTTGCTAGCGGGCGAGCCAGCGGCGAACTGGCTGGCGAGCCTACGAGCTGGTCAGCGTGCTGGCTAGAAGGCTGGCTGGCATGCTGGCTAGCTGGCTGGCGTGCTGGCTGGCGCGCTGGCTGGCTTGCTAGTTGGCTGGCTAGCTAACTGGCTGGCGAGCTGGCTGGCGACTAGCGGGCTGGCTAGTTCGTCGGTGGGTGAGCGCTCTGGCTGGCTGGCTGGCATACAAAACGTAACGGACGGTAGGGGGCAGGAAGGGAGGGGAGCTACGGAGCGCAAAATGGGAGAGCGAGAGTTGCAGGAAAAAAAAAAAAAACAAAAAAACTACAGTAACGGGGGAAGCGTGGCGCTAGGTAGACTCTAACCCTAACTCTATACCATATTAAAGTAAGGCATCAAAACTAACTAAGGGAAAATTTCGAGAGAGTACAAGAGTGGGTGTTGTACCTGTCAAAAGATTAGGATGCTAGGAACGGTAGACAGCCATGGAATGGCGTGAGGGTTTAGCTAGGAGAGTAAGTTGACGAGAGAAAAGAGGTCGAGAATAGAAGAGAGAGGGATACAAGGAGAGGGGTTGTACCCTCTACAGTAGGTTTCACTGATACCTACCAAGCCTACCAATTATATATCAAAGATATAATTTAACACACCCCCTAGGCTTGGTAGCCGAAAGCACACCACACACGGGACACTAAGCCACACACACCCCCTAAATCTAGCACCCCCATACTCAGTAGCAGCGACGGCTACACCAGCCCGGTCAACCCCTCGGCGCGTGAGGCGGCGACGTCAACAGCAAGGGCTGCGGTGGCGGCGGAGGCGTGCGGCGGCGTGGCCCCAACGCAAGCGGCGTTAGCGGCGGCGGCGGCGGGGCTCGCAGCACTGGGCGGTGTGGTCGGGCTCCGTGACGGTGGGACGGCCAGTGGGAGTCAGCCATCGGCTGCGGTGAGGAAGAGGGGACGCAGGGAAGGGAGGCGGGGCTTCTGCAACACGCCCGTGGCTGGCATGCGGGCGTCAGGACCGGCGGCGTCTAAGACGTCACACTGCCCGCTGCCGCCCGTCGACGCCGCCACTGCAGCATAGCGCCGCCTCCACAGCGCGGCGTCGATGCCGCGGCGGTACGTCGACGCTGCGACAATAGCACAACGAGGTCACCGCGGTGTGGCGTCGACACCACGCGTCGGGGCTGCGACGGCAGCATTACGACGCCGTCACTCCAGCGCGGCATGGCCGCTACGGCGGCACGAAAGTAACGGAAATGACGATTGATGTACGAGTACGCGGCAGAAGCGTGGGGAGCAGGCCCGGGAAGGGCAACCTGCTCTGTTACCATGTCAAAAGACTAGGATGCTAGGAACGGTAGACGTCCATGGAATGGCGTGAGGGTTAAGCTAGTAGAGTAAGTTGACGAGAGAAAAGAAGTTGAGAATAGAAGAGAGAGGGATACAAGGAGGGGGGTTGTACCCTCTACAGTAGGTTTTAGTAACACCTGCCAAGCCTACCAATTATATATCAAAGATATAATTTAATAGTACCCTCTAAGAACTGACCTAACTTGGAAGTAACCTATTTTTTCCTAACTAATGAAAGAATTTGAAACGTGGTGCAGGAGACTAAGTATAGAATCTGCAGACACAAGTACTTGAAGTAGAAAGTAATACTGGAAGTACCTCCAATAACAGCTAGTATAAACAAGTTGTAACACCAGAGTCAGTGTTACAGCCTTGCGATACTTCATGACTTAACCAAGGATCTTTGCTGGAATGTTAGACTAGTAAGACAGCAGAAGTCTTAGAACTTGTAAAGTGTTGACCAGAATTTACTGAAGAACAAGTTAACAATTGAAGTTGTACAAGCTACTTTTATATCTGCTAGAAGTACCTATTCGGTGATGTACCTGTTCAAGCTATTAGCGCTATGCGCTCTAACCACTACTGAAAAGAGCGCGACTGTTCGCGTGACTGAAACGGCTTGCTGACGTAACCATCCAGACGAGCGCTATTTGCTGACGTCATTCCACGGATGCTAACTACAGTGTAACTCGACAATGTCTATCGGAACTACTTACAGAAATGCTTATGTACGATTTTATCACAACACTCCCCTTCATTTCAGGAAGTCCAATAGTGTCACTTCTTGATAATTCCGCAGAGCTCGTTGCAGTATTGGAACTTCTGATGTGTCAGCTTCTTGGTGAGAAAATCTGCAGCCATTTCATTGGTCGAACAGTAGACCAATCGCATTCTCCCCTTCTCGACTTCATCTTTGACAAAAAAGAACCGCAGCGAAATATGTTTCGTCCCGCTGGCGAAACTAGGTTGATGCGCAATTCTGATTGCACTTTGATTGTCGCACTGCAGGGTTAACTCTGTACTTGTCGTTAATTTCAATTCCTCTAGTAGCTCTTGCAGATAGAGACCTTCGCGAGTAGCTGTGCAGGTAGCTATAAACTCGGCTTCAGCGGATGAAAGAGCTACTAGCTATTGCTTTGTAGAATTCCACGAGATTGTCCCAATAGGTTCGAGACGATAGATGAATCCCGTGCGATCTGTGCCAGGGGCACCCAACTGTTTTACAGGGCCGTCCGATCTTTCCAAGGTATCAGAAACTCGATCAAGTGAGCCCCTCAAGGGTCCTTGATCCTATGGCTAGAACCTTCGCAGGTTCGACAGCAGGCTTGGCGATCGGTCGGATGTACAGATTCGCTCGGTGACGTGGTAATTTACTGGTGATGGCGATGTAAGGTCGAAGTAATCGCATGTGGAATGATGGGTTGACGTTCCAGGTAGCTGGTAAAAGTAGATGGGCTATAACGGAAGATATCATATGGCTGATGGTAAATGGTCCACAGTAGCGAGGGGAGGTTTTGGGACGATGGGCAATCGAAGGTTCTGGGTGTCGAGCAGTACTAAATCTCTCGCCTGGTAAGTTACTGCTCGTCGGTGTACATCAGCGTTGCACTTAGAAATAACATTTGTGCGCTTAATGGCTTCGGCTGCTCACTTCCGGGCATTCTGTAATAACGTCTGCGCCAGGATATTAGACCCAATGGGTCTTATCATATACACAGAAGCGTTTTTGGGAGTCATCTTATAAATGGCAAAAAAAACATCCAGAGATCTTATGAACGGAACTCATATAGAGTTTTTTAGGCAATCATTTATGGTGTTTAGGGCAGGTTGTGTATGGATCTCCTAACGAGCTTCACGTAGAAATGGGTGCCATAAGGGACTTCAGCATTCACCATGAGGGCAGCTGATGCTGGCAGCGGAAAACTGCTTTCCTCACGCGAGTTGGCATCATTGCTATAATTCAAGAGTTGGGGGATCTTAACTCATACGCACCCTGTCCTGAATGGATCTTCTAAATGGCAGTGCCGATTAGAAGATAGAGTCACAATAGAAGACCATGTGTCTTCTATTAGGTGGGGATCATATACCCGGACGCTGACGGTATTTCGGCGAGCTGTTGGGCTCGAGGTACAGGAATTTCGATGTTGGGCGTAATCAGTACTGTAGGGTTCTGCTCGTAATTCAGGTAGAATGGTGACTATCGTATACTGGCCGACAAGGCACTATTTTACGCGTACTCAATCAGTGGCAATTGATTGGCCCGTTCGGACTATCTGTCAGCCTCGGGGTGATAGGCGTAGAAGAATTACAGGCACGTGTCTCACATATGTTGTATGTCGTTTTAGATTATATAGGGTTGTGCCTTAGGGAGTACAACCCATTAGGTTATATTCCCTTGTATGTCTCTATTCTAATCATTCATTCACTTCAATATGGTATCATGAGTTGGTAGGTCCCCCCCGCCCACTAGCGCTCCCGCCCTAGGACCTAGCCGCCCCGTTACCCTCCTGCGCCTAGCTGGCCCCGTAGCCCCGCCCATCCTGCCGCCTAGCCGACCCCGCTTCCTAGCAGGCCCCGCCTCCTAGCTGGCCCCGCTGCCCAAACGGCCCCGTCGGCCTCGCCTCCTAGCCGGCCACCCCTCCTAGCCGGCCCTGCGTCCTAGCTGGCCCCGCCGCCCAGTCGGTCCCGTCGACCCCGCCTCCTAGCAAGCCCCTCCGCCCAATCGGCCCCGTCGGCCCCGCCTCCTAGCTGGCCCCGCCGCCCATTCGGTCCCGTCGACCCCGCCTCCTAGCTAGCCCCACCGCCCAGTCGGGCCCCGTCGACCCCGCCTCCTAGCTGGCTCCTCCGCCCAAATCGGCCCCGTCGCCCTCGCCGGCCCCGCCCTCCTAGCCGGCCCCGTAACTTAGTCGGCCCGGCCTCCTAGCCGGCCTCGCCCCCTAGCTGTCCCCGTCGCCCACTCG